AAGAATAAGTAAAAATATAATACAATAATGAAAAAAATAGTGCAAAACACAAGGTTATTTATTACATCCATATTTTTTAATATTAATTTATACTTTTGAAAACTAATGTATCATTATTTTCCACACTAATTTACAACCAAGTCTTGTTGTTATCATGACTCAAAAAATTGTCAATTTGAAACATAAATGAATTTTTGTTTTACTTATATTAAAAATTAAAAATAAATAATATTATTTGTTAATTAATTGAGTTTGTATGATGTAATTAATGAGTTGTAGGTTGGAGTTGGATAATAACAAAAATATGCACCATCTTGTCTAAATAAAATATTACTTATTGAGCATATTAAATATATTTTATTATATTCTAAAATATCTTTTTTCAATAATATAAAAGATATATTAAAAATATAAGCACAAATTTACTAAAGCTATAACCTCGTAAAAGTAATTGATAACTGATTGATAGACACATGATAAACGACGAGTCTTAAAGTTACGACAAGATATTCCACAAAGTTGATAATCAAATATTTGGTTAATCAACTGCTTAACTTTGATTATCTATACTATATTATAAAGCATTTGACAAAACTCTTAAAAATCATTTTTATGCATGAAGTATTGTTTATTGATGCATATTACTTAAAATTTATAATTACAAGTAATTATACATAAGTACAACTTATTAAAGCTTCTTGTTTGAATTCGTTTAATTAACTGCAGATAAACATAATCAAACAGATGATAAACATCTCATTTTAAATATAAAAAATCAAAAATATAATTAGGATAATCATTGACTTCTAACAAAATACTTAATTATTATCAATATAAAAAAATTATATTATTAAACCAAAAATAAATAAAAAAATGAATTACAAAAGTATACAAGAAAACGAGAAATTTTAAATGGTTAGTTTGATATTAATATCAATATTTTTTTTTCAACTTTTATTAATCTTTATATTTATATTTTATTAAAAAAAAACATTAGTATTTTCTCAAAATTACAGAAAACCGTATTATAACATCGACTGAGATAAAGAAAGAAATAAAACGAAACATTAAGATCGAGATTTATTTCGCTGCATTGTATAAGTACCCTTCTAGTATATAGCTGTCAATCTGCAATTCAAAATCAAATAAAAATAAAATCTAAAAAGACGAGTAATAGAACAAAGTAGAATCACATTATATCATATCATGTGTATACACAATTAGTTGATGTATAAAAGAAATTCGATATTCGAGTTAAATAAATAATTGGTTTTAGTTTAAATTATTACAAAAAATATCGCTACGATGATTTAAAATAAAAGTATTACGTTTTTCGGATGATAAATATATGGTATTTTCATTAGAAAAAGCTCATTGGCCTAGCGGTTTTCAAGTTATCAATAAAAAGCAGTTTTCATGAGGTTAAGACTCAAGAGTTTAATGAGAAAGGTATTTGAGTATTTGTTGTATATAATATATGTTTTCTTCGTCTTAAAATAAGTGTCTACATTTTTATGTTTATTTATTCTAAAATAAGTGTCCAAATTCGAAAATAAATATTTAGCATCTCCGACAGTTATGATATATATATTTTTTTTTCTAAAATAGAGTCATAAAAGTCAAAATCTCAAAAAAATTGCATTCAACTCTAAAAACTACTGTTATTTTAACAATTCTAATATCAACTATATTATTAAAATATTCAATAAATTTAATAAAATATTATTTATCTCTTGTACACTTCTATTATAAATACCTCGCATTGATGAGAAAATAATTAAAATAATAATTTCTCTCTTGTTAGAGATTTCTCTCCTCTCTTTTTAGGTGGGGACCTCATTCCTCATCCCCGTCCCCGATTACTCTTCTTTGTCCGGCCCTCGTCCCCATTTCGTCGGGAAATATAATCACATCCCTATCCCCAACCCCAACGGAGAACGAGGATCCTCAACAGGGAAACAGAGATTCTTTTTTCGTTTATGTAAGGTATTTATCAAATATGTGAGAGATCACACATGTTTAAATTTAAAATATTTTCAGTAAATCTAAAATTAAAATGACTTTAATCTAATACAAAAAAAATCACATCATATATAATTAATAACCTAAAACCAAAAGAATATTCAGTTTAATCCAAAATAATTTAATGTTACACATACCAAAAGATATTTAAGTAATATAAAACATATCGAGTAAATATATTTTCTTAACATCTAAAATATTACATATTAACATCCAAGAAATAAACAATTTTAGATTCTAAACCTAGTTAGGAAATTATAAATTATCCATTTAGTTGAAATAAATAATATACATATATACATAATTAATTAATATACATAACGGGTACGAACGAGGCCGGGAGCATGATACCTATCCTCGTCCCCATTCCCGGTTTGAGACAAACGGAGCCCTCCGTCTCCGTCCCCATCCTCGATTTAGCTGGAATCCCCGTCCTCGACTGGGACAGGTAGACCGGGTTCCCCGACAGTTCTGAGTCTATTCTCATGCCTACCTCTTTTCTCTATTTTAGTATACAAGATATCATAGTTGTTAGAACAAAAATTGCTAGAATATCTATTTTATGTATTTTAATATAGCTGATGGTGTTGCTCTTATGGGCTGTTTGGCGGTTGTTGAATGGTTTGGGGCAGAATGGTTAAGTGGTCAAAATGGTTAAGAGGGCCAGAATGGTTAAGTGCTGAATGAAATAATGTTGTTTGGTAACTGTTCTCTGAATAACAATAAATTACCATTTTAACACTTTTTTCAGAAGTTCGAGTTCTCGAGGCAAAGAGCCTGTTAATGAATTGACGGAAAGATTAAGGATGGTGGTTAAACTTGGGAGATCAAGAACTTCTGTGGGTATACTCCCACTGAGCTTATTCATGGACAAATCTATGAAAATTATCCTTCTGAAATTCCTAAAACTAATGGGTATGCTTCCTCCCAATTCATTGTTTGACAAATCAATTTTAGTCAAGTTTCCAAGATTACCCAATGAATTCGGGATATTTGAAGACAATCTATTTTTGCCCAGAACAAGCTCCTGTAAGTTCTCCAATTGGCCTAACTCAGGCGGGATTTCACCGAAAAGGGAGTTGTAGCTTACATTTATTAAACCTAAGCCTTTCAAGAAAGAGAGTGAGATCTTCAGGAATAGAACCAGAAATTTGATTTTGCATGAAATCAAGAACCCTGAGCTGGAGGCATCTACTTATGTTTGTTGGGATGGTGCCTTGGATGCTGTTGGAGGCGAAGATAGAGAGATGCAGAGATGGTGGAGGTGAAGTGTTGATCCTCTCTCTCAGTGATTTGATGATAATCCATTTTTCTCTTTCATGTTGTATTTGTGTTTCTATATTTTCAGTTCCAGCGATCATCACTGAGTATGTTCAGTGATCGCTGAAGAACTTGCATTGTAAATTCATCAGAGACAGCAATACTTCAAGAAGACAACACTCGCACCAAAGAACCTTCAGCAAACGTCGAAGACTGAAACTGAAGATTAGAGACTGGCGAGTACGTGATCTGAAGCGGTATTTAGTGATTACAAGCCTGTCTATACATGTGTGAAGACTGCTCTAGCTTCAGCGAATGATGATGAGACCTCCAGGTCATTCCAGCATTCAGCGATCAAAGGAAGCTTGCTTAGCACAATTGTTGTTGTCTTGTCTTTATGCACACAAAGGACAAACTCATACCCTTACAAAAGTTAGTACGGTACGGAGCCGATTAGTCGACTCTTTGTCCACCAACTTTAGGCAAGGATGTTTGCTCTGAAATAGTGCTTTTGTACTATTCACTGTAGCAAAGGACAAGCCTTCCTCTTAAGGTTTGACACACACTCTAAACCTACCATAGTGCATTAAATGATCATTTAATGCATTGGGTATAAATAGAAGTGTTTCTTCTCCATGCAGAGAGCGCGCATCTGTCTCTAACCTTATTCTTACTTCAAGCATCTTCTAGCTTAAGTAAAAGATCTTTCTTTTAGCATTCTCTTTTCTTGTATTTGCTAAAGCTCTGTGTSTAACCAAAGATTGTTTAGATAGGTTTTCATTACCTTATCTTTCCGCAAACAGTCTTGTAAAATCTRTATTGATCTTCTCTATCAATATATATTTTAAATTTGAAAATACTGTGTTTGTATTCATCCTCCCCCTTCTACAAACTGTTTGGGACCAACATGAAGATACAGAGATGCGTGAAGAGAGCAGCTGGAAAAGAGGGGTGGGAAGGATAACCGGTGATGGCGACCGGCGAAGCTGTGGAGGTGACCAGTGATGGCGACGGGCGATGGAGACGGTGGAGGTGACTGGCGATGGCTGTGGAAGGCAACGAGTTCTCGAGAAGGCGACACAAAATGGCTGGAAAAGAAGGGATGTGGAAGGGTAAAGATGAAACAAATGCAATCTAAATGGTTGAGTGAGGCCCTAGACACAACATGGTTAAGAGGTTAATGTAACCATTAAGAGACTTATTTTTTTTTTGCCAAACAGCCCTTACCTCTTACCGATTAAGAGGTTTGTGACATTAAGAGCCAAACAAACAACCCCTTACTTTCTTATTATACCCTTAATTTTTTTTATCTCTCTATTATTAAGAGAAATTGTGTTTTGATTGATTAAAAAGTAGTAACACTATGTGTTAGTAAAATGGTTTAATGCTCCCTTGTATATAGTCTTGGCTTTGTATTTGTTTTTGTTGTCAAGCCTTTCCTTACTAACTCAAGTTCCATATAAATCACATGTTTTTAAGATTATGATAATTATTCATCATAAATATCATATATTTTTATTTATAATATCTATCAACATTAATAATAATATTCATCATTTATAATATTAATGAATATATTATTCTCAAAATATTTACGCCTTAAAAAACTCGTTCTAAAAAAAAGATTTTCATGAGAAGTGTCATTTTCATTGAGAAGTACAACATTCAGGTAATACGTATGAAGATACCCACCCTTGTATTGTAAGAAGCCATATTTTGTAACTTTACCATATTCATAGAAATACAACATAACCTTTACTCAATATAAGGGTACCTTCATCACTTCTCACTAAAAATAATTTCCCTCATAATCCCAAATCTCTCACTATATATATATACATGTATATGTATAGGTATTATGTATATATATAGTTGTACTACAAGTCCAAGTTCGTATAGAAGATGCAAGTAGTTGAAACTTGTGGTAGAAAACTAGTTTTGTGTTGAAAGGCAGAACCGAAATGATGGTATTCACAATTCAAATATGATCTTGTTTTGGGGGTGGGGTGATCATCATTGCCATTGGTCACAGAATGGGGCCTTCGGTGGTCAAACTAGAGTACCAAGTGAACTGAAATGATCCCATGCCTCCTGCACCACAAACCAAAACCAAATCATTTACATATACTTGTTCCCAAACTAAAATCATTACATTCATCAATGAATGAAATACCTGAAGTATATCGAACACCTTTTCGGCCGTGTACTTTTTATGTGAATCCGCACCTTTCTGCTGTAATTTATCAGGGTGCAAGCACAGCATTGCTCGATTATAAGATTTCTTCACTGCATTTGCTTCTATTATATCAACAAGTGCAACTGGCTTCCATCCACTCTCAGGCCAAAGCACCTGTGCAATTCCATTTATACTTCATAATCGATTACCCATTTAAGCCTTTTGTGAAATTTCACATGAAAAAAACCAAGTCTTTGGGCTTACAAGTTGTAAAGTCGAGAGTAGTGAACGAATGTTTCCTTTTCTTCCATTTGACCACAGGTGGATCTTCGAGTCCAAAGCCTGCATTTTGTGTATATATTGCATTGAATCAACACCACATAAATATGAAAATTATGGTACACATTTTGTAAACAAAAGATTTTACTCTGATGGCCTCGGACTCTTCTTGAGTTTCTGAAAGTTTGTCCTCAACAAGCGACAACTCTTCTACCTGTGTTCGTTCAAGTGCCCAAATAGTAAAGCATTCAGAACAACACGTAGGATGTTTAACATGAGACGGTAGAAAGTGTGAGAATATGTAGAACCCCATCAGATAACCCCCCAAAAAAGCCCTTGAAGAGAGAAGAGAGGTTCCAACATATATGGAGTAGAAACGGTCCAAGTCTAGTTGATGTGGGACTTCAACAGAAAACAATGAGTGATACCAATGATAAAACTAAAAACGAGAAATCTCATACCTGGAAGTTATCCAATGAGGGATCGTCTATGTTTTCAACAGTAACCTTAGAACCATAAGGAACCGATTCTGAGAAACAGAAATAAAGAGCAAGAGTTTAGTGGCAAGATATTAGGCTACAATCATCCAAAGTCCAAACCACGTACTCCTAAGATAATATTTTGGATGACAACTAATTTTCGTTAGAACCCAAGCTAAAAAACAGCTTATTCCTGTTAGTTAGCTCTGTTCTAGGATACAGCTATTCGGTTAACTAACCAGAAGCGGGTGAAGCATCCATCTGAAAGTAAATATCCTCGAGTTTTTTAATAGTACGATTCCGTGCAAATTTCTTCTTGTTGGACTTCTCACCATGTCCCTGCACCTTAGAAACAATAAATCTTGTAAAAAGATGAAAACCCGTACATGTAATAATATTTTTTTTTGGTTTGGCTAGATCAAAGACACAAACCCGTACGGAGTTAGATAAGATAAATTGCAAGTAAAACTACCATGAATGAAGCATCTGGCATCATATTCACATTGTCGACAGGCACTTTACGATCCAACGGGGTTGTGCTTGAAGCTTCTGTCGCTGTTTTCACATATTCTACAGGCACTTTACGATCCAATGGGGTTGTCCTAGAAGCTTCTGTCGCTGTTTTCACATATACAGGCACTTTACGATCCAATGGGGTTGTCCTAAAAGCTTCTGTCGCTGTTTTCACATTTCCTGCAGACACTTTGCGATCCAGTGGGGTTGTCCTAGAAGCTTCTCTAGCTGTTTTCACATTTTCTGCAGGCACTTCACTGTTCAATTCTGTTGTGTTTGATGCATCTGGCATGGTTTCTACATCAGCTGCTGGAACCCTAACATCCAAATTTGATATGATTTCAGCTACTTCGCTGTCCAATTCTGTTCTGTTTTTGGCAGTAGTTTTCCATCTAGAGCTCAAACTTCGGCCAACAGCATTTGCTTTGGTCTTTGGAGGATTTTCCTGATTGGACATCTTGAAGAAATCTTTGACCATACCCTTGACTCGGCTTTTCCCAAAACTTTCACCTGAACTTTTAGGTGATCCAACAGCAGGTTTAATTGGTTCTGCTTTTTTGCTGGAATTCATCTTTTTCGCCTCAAGTTTTTTCTTACTGGTGGTGTCAACATCTGAATGTAACACACCACTCATTGTCTCCTTGGTTTCTTTCCCTTCCGCCTCTCTACCAGCCTCTTTGCCACCTGAGCCCACAAGAAAATTTTAATCAGCTTTCAGATGTTTAAAAATTTTCAACACAAGCCCCACTAGGAAAACGCACGTTACCTTGTCCTTTGATCTCATTGCGTAATGGTGAATGTGGAGGTATGACCTCCTGCTCATTAACTTCTTGTTTCACCATTGAAATTTCTTTCTCAGTTAATTCTGCTAAACCATTTCCAGAAAGAGGGTTCATGTCTTCTTTATCTGCTGAGGTAACTTCAACTGGAAAGCCAGCATCTGGGGTACTGTCCATTGATACTGCACTAACTTTACTACTTCCTTTCATAGTAGGCTGTTTGCCTCCACGAAGAGACATCAGTAATGGCACTCCAATGTTGGCCCATTTGTGTATGGAAAAGTGAAATTCGCTGCTTGGAGATCCTGCTCTTGCTGTTGTATGCTTTGACTTGTGGTCGATTCCATTTTCTGTGGATAGTGTCGAGTATAGCGACTCTTTTACACCAGACGATTCACGGGATAACAAGGTTTGACCAGGAGACTGTCCAGGATTATTCTGGAAAAGATCCCGCCCTTGCATTGCTGGGCTTGAAAATCTAGAAAGAGAGACATTCAGTGATGAATGCACATTTGAAGCACCATCTTTGTATCTGTGTGGACTACTGCTACTAGAACCAAGAATAGGAATATCTATGGCTTTGGTCATCTTGGCAGGCAGGCTGGCAAATTCATACAAAGTGCGAATGTGAATAAGACAATTGTATATCATCATAGTGAAGAACCCCACAACTTCATAGCTATATTGAATAATAAAGCATAAGACTGAAAATTGGAAATCAGAAGAAAACATCCAACGGTTGATTGCAAGCAAAAATTTGGAGAACATAGCAGCGTGATCAGTTGCTAAGAAGTGAGTGTTGTCGCTTCTATGATTCCTAATTCAGAAATTCTAATTCGAAATCAAAAGCAACCATGAATTCATCCAACTTTTGTTCATAATGAACTTTGAAAGTAGCAATCTACAGAAAGAATTCAAAGAACAATGAGAAAAAGAAGTGGCCAGAACAGAACCTGAATTCAACAGGAACTGAAGTGGCTAAGGGCTCGATTTTAGGGTGGGCAGGGCTTAACGTTCTCGAACCAGGAGTAGGAGAAGACCACCTCGGAGATCGGACAGACTCGTCACTTCTCCTGAAAATATCATCATAGAAATCATCACTAGTAGGCCTTCTCGGCGAACTATACGACTCGCCAAAAACCGGCCTCTCGCCCAATCCAATGGAAGAGCTCGTGGACTCCTCCGATTTAATCCTGCCACCACCAAAACTGTATCTCGTCCGCGTCGGAGGTCCGCCAAACACGTCGTCGAAATCAACATCATTATCGGAGGGTTTCAACTCCATAGCAGAAGAACTAGCTTCGTTTTCGAACGACCTCTGTGATAGACCGTATTGCAGCGACACATTGGCCGTCCGACCAAGTTTCTCCATTCAGTGAACTTCAACCGGAGTGGGAAATCATGGAAACCGCATTCAGATTACACATATTGGTTCTGGAATCTAGATGATCGTGGAAGAGATTATGAGAGAAGATGAACCGATTTGCCGATGAAATTGGGGGTGGAGGAAAAGGACAAAGAACAACGGAGGTGGGGCCAGGATGGTTCAACTGAAGCCACAAGATGGCGGGGGACCGGTGGATAAGGGCTGAAATGAATGAAAGCCGCCGGTCGGATTGTTAGTTTTTTGGCCGGTTCGATTTGGTATACAAAAGTTTCCTTGGCGCCAATTAATTGTCAAAAATAGACTCCATCCACGAAAATTAAAACAAAAATTCCACCATAAATCTAATAGATGTCTATCCATCATAACTCTAACATTTTTTTTTTATTAATCTGGATATCTAACTCGTTATGGAAGCCGACTAATCTCAAGACGACCACCTGTTTTGTAGATACTCTGGGGTCACCGCATTTGAACCTTCGTAGCCACAAGAAGATTTTTATTTCTCATTGGATTTGAACTTGGGATCTCCTGATACTTTTGACCTTTGGAGTCAAGCTCAAAAGAACCCGAGATAGATGCAATGTCCACAATACCTGGATTTAATCGAATACAATTTGAAGGATTTTGTATGTTCATTGATCAGGCTTTGACAAAAGAACTTTCTAAGTTTCCAAAAGTTGAAGATATAAATAAAGATATTAACTTTGAATTATTTTTGGAAAAATATCAATTGGTAGAACCCCGGATAACAGAAAGAGATGTTGTATATGAATCATTCACATGTTCTTCTGAATTATATGTATCCGCGAGACTTATTTGGAAAAATGCAATTTTCCATAATACAACTTATGTTACAAATTATCATCATTTGCGTAGTATTGCATGAAATTTCATAATAGAAATTATGTTGTATCTGAATTTATTGTTCGTTATGTCATTATGGACTCAAGTATATCTTGTAGTGATCTTTATCACTAATTATATATATTGTTTACTATAAAGTTGAAAACATCACATGTAATTATGCCAAGTACAATCCATATAGTTTTATTGGCACGATCTATATGTCTAACAATTACTCCAGTGTCCAGCTGACGGTCCACGAGTGTAACACCCCAAGTTTTTGGTCAAAATTAACACAAGACAGTGTGAGGGTTGATCGTGTAAAGAACTGGAAGTTAAGTTGAGGGGTTGAAATGTATTACAACTAAGTGTAAGGATTAAAGGGAGACAATGGAATAATACGTTCAATTAGAACATGGAAGAAGAGATCGAGTAAAACAAACAACTATTTAGCGTGGTTCCACTATCGGGGTGATAGTTATACATCCACATGGAAAAAGATGAAGCTTTATCTACTGATAATCAACGAAAGAACTATCACAATAAGCATTTACCTTTAACTATGATCCACTTTAAACCCACAAGGTAAAACTGAACACAACTTTGGCACCAACATGGTTTGCAACTAACAAAAAACTTGTGAATAACAAAGCCCTAGATCTAATTTATGCCTAGATTCACGAATGCGATCTGGTTGGGCATCCTCTAAGCTCGTTATCTTGTTTTATTATGGGGTTCTTCTTTCTTTTATCTAGCCGTGTGAGATGAAAGTCTCATGCAAGAGGAAAGAGTGATCATTTTGGGCTTTGTTTGAAATGTTATTATGGGATTTTTTTGATGTTTAAATAACAATCTAACGCATAATACAAGTCAAATAAGGTCAGGGGGCAAAGCCAGAAAATCTATCTAGGGGGTGTCTAGAAAAAATGTAAGAAAATTCACGATTTCAAAGTTGAGAAAACCCTTTTAAGCATGTATGTTTTTTTTAATTAAATACTTGTTCTAAAAATCCAAGGAGGAATAAAAATCCTCTTGTGGCCACGGAGGTTCAAATGAGGTGACTCTGGATTATCTGCAAAGCAGGTGGTCGCCCTGAGATTAGTCGGCTCGCATAACGGGTTGGATATCCAGGTTAATAAAAAAACATAGTTGAAATACATTCGTAACCTACACAACGTAAGTATGTCTATATTTATACAAACAAATACAAGATTTGTGTAGATAATCATATAAATAAGAAAATATTGCTTTGAGAAAAATGAAATTTGTCGTAAAAAACTTGTGTATTCAATAAAGTGACGTGTTTATTTTAAAACCTACAGAATACTTGGCATTTATAAAAGAAGAAATTGACATAAACAAATAAAGTTTCAAATTTTTTGAAGTTTAAAGAGAAGTCAATGCCACTTACGAGTGCAAAGTGGCTTCTCCCATGAATAAGGTAAACATATTTCACTCGACCGATCTGAACTAATCGGAACGCAGCGATAAAAGGGTGTTATTGTACTATAAAAATTAACAAGTAAAATTAGAAAAAGTATATTTTGCGAGTTAATTTTAAAAAATTTAAAATGACAAAAATGGTTTTATTGCTAAAATAACACATTTAAACCACATTAAATAACAATACACATTGCATTTAGATAATATAATTACTAAATAAAATGTATTAGATAATATAAAATAATTATAAACTCAATCATGAATACAAATCAATTAATTGTAATCTAGTCTAATAAATATATGATTCGGTAAATATTTCAGTTGTTTTCTAATGAACTCTAATAATCTTCCATAAATATGTAAATCATAATAAATAAACTCTTTAACATTTTTATAAATATCTTAATTAATTGGTTTGTGTTAAAGGAAAAACAAAATAGAATAGAGAGAAAGAATCTGTAATTCTCATTAATTACAAGTCATTTATATAGGGATGAGTTACAAGTAGATAACTACGAGATATTTCAGTTGTAATCTAACTCTGATGTAACTATTTCTATCTCTATCGTCATATTCTTTAAACAATGGCACACTTATCCTACAATACTCCCCATTGTGCCAAGTCAAAAGAGTGATGGTGCATGAATGTTGCTTCATTAAAACCTTATGCCCAAATAAAAACTCTGTGGGAAAAAAATAAAAATAGGACGAAAGAAAAAGTACAACACACCAATTTATTTGCAATATATATAATTTTTCTTTAGTCTAATATTCTTTTAGATTCGCATATTAATCATGAGAGTTAGAAAAACAGGATGATGTATAAATTGTTGCTTTACTAAAACCTTACACCAAGAAACAAAACTTAATGGGAAAAATAAAACATTGGGTGAAGGAAAGAATATAACATACCAATATTACATATATAGTAGACTCCCCTGATTCATACATTAATCAAGGAGTTTGGAAAGTCTATGTTTTCTGATACTTTCTACATGTTTTCCGATACTTTCTACTTGTTTCCCAAATATAGTATTAGGTAATGATTTGGTAAGCAAATGTCACATTCTCCTGGTATTTACTTGATTCAATTCAATCTAGAGAAAAGTTTGTTATTATTGATTGTATATAAACTTAAGCAGAATATGCTTTATGTTATCACCCTAATGTATCTTACTTTCATTTATTTGATACATGATGCATTATTTTCATATATGCATGTAGGATAGTAGTTGAAATAAGGGATGGCAAAAAATGACCCAACCCATTAACCTAATCCGAACCCAACCCAAAATTAGCAGGTTGGGTTGAGATTTTCAACCCATTTAAATAAATGGGTCAACCCGTCTAACACATTTAAATAAATAGGTTGGATTGAGTTGAATTTTTTGACCTGTTTTCAACCCGTCTTGAACCCGTTCTCAACCTGTTTTCAACCCACTTAAAATATTATATAAATTTATTTTATTCTTAATATTATATCTATTTTATTTTTTATTTTGTTTCTTATTAAATAAATTGGCCCAAAGTTTCATGATGACTCTTCGATTTCAATCCTTCAATAATCAATTCTTCACACGCTTCATTACTAATCAGTATTATGAGTCTCGACGTTTTGCCTTCTATTCTTCAATTCTTCAATTTTTTCCCCTTCTTTTGAGTTCTACCTTCTAAAATCAAAGATTTGGGTTGGTTTCAGACTTTTAGTTTTCGATTTGAGGTTGAGGGCTTGAGGCGTTGTTGAACGATAGCAGAGTAAGTTCTTTATGATCATGTTTGTTTAGTATTTTGTTGTTAAACTTCGTATAGATCATATGAATTTCATGTTTCTCTTTGATTATTTGTTACTTTATGACTTTATCGAACTTTAGTGATTTCTTTCAAGTTTGAATTTGTTATTTGTGTGATGTGGCTATTTGTTTCTATCACTGTACCTATACCTCAGAGATAATTGTTATCATTCGTCTTCATTGAGATAATTATACAATCTACATATAAGTTGTTGTTTTGTATGCATGGATTACACTTGCTGATGGACTAATGGTCTTAGGATTTTAGGACGAGAGTGAAATTGGGGTTGATGAAAGTGAAAGTCGAGTTACTTAGAGTATAAAAAAATTCAACTTATTTTGAACAATATATTTGTTGTGATTGTGTTTTATTCAAACTTTGAACAGTTTGGTTGTATTTGTGGTTGTGTTATGTTTTATTTAAAAAAAGTTAAATACTCTAGTTCTTTTTTTATTTAAAATTTTAAAATTAAATGGGTAAACCCAGGTTCAACCCATTTATTTAACAGGTTGGGTTAAGAAAATCGTAAACAGGTCAACCCGCTGTCAACCCATTAACCAACAGGTTGGGTTGGGTTGAAAAATCTCAACCCATTTAATTAATTGGGTTGGGTTGGGTTGAGATTTTCGACCTGTTTAATAAATGGGTTGAACTCGAACCCAACCCAACTTGACTCATTGCCACCCCTAGTTGAAATCAAACCTCTAGCTCCTCTAATATGTAATGATAGTTCTTAACCATCTATACTTTTGAAATCATGTAGAGAAGGTAGCTACAAGGGTTTGCTTAGTTTACTTCCAAGCAATCAACATGTTCCCTGTGATAATTCCTTATCCAGTTTGGGAACAACCTCCGTATGGATCAGATAGATAGTTAATATCAGCAAATACATACCAAGACATTGTTTC